TTAGTGTGAAATACGGCCTAATTAGGGCTTTGGTTTTATAGCCTGTTAACGTAGTTATCACTTACAACATTGTAATGTCAAAATCAATACGGATTACTTATGTCCTATCCGCCTCCATTCCACAAGGTGACAATAGTTTGTCTGTCTTTGCACTTATTAGGCAGGATTGAGCCAGACAGCGTTTGGAAAAAAGAACCAAAACTCAATCTATGCGCCCTTGTTCATATGATATTACTCACACAACCAAACCTAATCAAAGCAATTTATTCCAGCCTGAAAGTAGCAAAACACTTCACAGCAAAATATAGTCTCTGATTTCACTACTGTCTGCAAGAAAAAGGAAAAACAGTTCTATTTGTGGAACATGAGGGGAGAAAAGGGGAAAAGGGAAAAAAAGAATAAAAGAATAAAATCAGCTGTTTGAGTAAATCTCATCTTTTAGTGAAAACTGTCAAAAAATAAATAAATAAATACAATTCTTAAAAATAAAATGTATATAAAAAAAGTTATAATAATATATAATGTTATAATTTGCTTAAAGACAATGAAATCTGTTTTTGGACCACTAACAAATTTATATTTATATTTTCATGAATTAAGCACCTTTCTTTACCAACTCTCATTACCAAATAAATAAATGTGACAGAAATATAGAGATCAATTGAAGTATGGATACTAAGTCAATAATTAATGTTTCAATGTATTAAACTCCCAAAAATATTAAATTCCACAAATAAATAATGGCACTAAAAATAATATTTGCATGTTTTTAGGCAACAAAGTGTTTATTATTTATTTAAAAATAATATTACTCTTCTAATAAAGTAATATAACATGGTTCCGTAATATTCACCTATACAAAGAAACAATATATGTCAAACTTGCAAATATAAATGTAAAGGAAAAAAGAATGAGGAAAAAAAGTAAAAAGTAATTAAAATGCAGGGAATAACACCACAAAATTCTAATCTCCATTCAAAGCCATGTTATGAAAATATACCCATAGATAAGTTGTAGCCTGCACTGAAGTGTCTGCCTGATTCAGATCTAAAGTTACAGTGGCTGACCTTCAACATTCCTCAGTGTCCCAGAATGCCATTCATCTACAGCTGCAGATAACGCTGAGTAAATATCATAAGCATGAGGATTTTAGGATTGAGGTGAGGCCGGCCACATCCTTAACCCACAAGGAAGAGGGCGAAGAGAGATCTACCCTTTAAGGGCCCTTTCCTGAAGGATCTGCTGTAAAAACACAAAAAAAGGAAGCCATATCCATGTCCTGTCATTTCTCTTGGCATTAACGTTCTTCTTCGTCCCTTTGATGAAGGCTACTTCAACTAATCACATAAACCATGTGTTCTGAAAACCTGCATTAAATCGACAGGATTCTTATCCAAGTTACAGACACAAGCAGAATGAAACTCCTAAAGATACTCACCAATCAGAGAAGAGAATAAAAGAGCTTAATTGGTCGGATAGCGCTTGAGGAGTCTCGTGTATGAGGGTGCAGCAGAGAGAACCTGTGACTGCACTAATCTGTTCTGAAACACACCAACCCTTATCCCCCGCTGATATATACCTAAACAAGACAAACACAGGCAACCAGTGAACAGGCAACCACAACAAACAAAAGAGTGAAAGACTGAACGAGAGAGCAAGAGAGAGAGAGAAACAAGACGAAAGAGAGAGAAGTACTATTAAAGCCATTTAGTAGAAAAAAGCTAAAGTAATACCTATAAAAAAGCACTTTAAGCTTAACCCCAAAAACTAAGGATACTAAAGAAATAAACATTTTAATAAAAATCTTTTTTTAAACCAAAAATTCTATTCATGATTTCATAAAAGGTTGAATAATGTAATAATGAGAGGCAAGGCCTGTGACTACCTTCTGCACTGTTTTAACAGGGATGAAACCATATTAGGACGTGTATGCTAAAGTAAACAACATAGTTGCAATGAGATGGAAATTTTTCAGCTAATGGTGTTTGTCATTCCTGTTTTCAGTCCTGGACTTAATTTCTTTGCTTCTTTCTCTTTTTTTTTTTTTCTCCACGACTTCTTTCTTTTTTTCCCCCCTCCCCTGAGCTTGGGAGGGCTGTGTTTATGAATAACAACTAAAGCGGCCAGTCCACGGCCAGGTGCAAAACACACAGTAAATATACACATCAACCAAAGCAATGTTTTTTTTTTATATATGTCATTGTGAAATCAGTTACTTTTCCATACAAAGGAACATTAGTGCATTACATTTATTGCATAAACAATAATTTTTGCAATTCCATTTGGTGCCAAAAGCGGCGCAGAAATGACACATTTCACCTTTAACAAAGTCCAAAGTCAAACTCTTATTACAGAGTTTAAAAGCCACAACAAAACTTCAGCTAACCAGTGTAGGCGTATCTCCTTTCCTCCCCACAGCACAAATACACTCCCCCTCTCTCTTTGTCTCTCTCTCTCTCACACACACACACACACCTTTCAAATGCAAGCTGTTTATTTACTTAATGTTAAAGCTATTCCATTAAGCAGCCAGGCCCAGGTGCTTCATCCCTAAAAGGGATTTTAGTTCCTCAAATAAATACCACGGCAAGGCACTGCCAAAATGTTATTGACCATGAATATAACAAATGTCAGATAGAGAACAATAAACATCAACCTATGTGAGTCATTATGGGCATATACTTTAAATTTCAGTGAACGCTGGGCACTTATGATGATTTATGAACATGATTTGATCATTGTAAGGTATATTTTTTAAGGAAGGCAAGCTAAGACTAAGCCCATATTGTATGGCTTACCTGCTTATGTTCAACAATGTGCTAATGATTTCACTTTCGTCTAACCAAAATGAGTTCAACTGTGTGGTGTATTTGCATTGCTAGTACAAAGAAAACAAAATGACTAGAGGGGAAAAAAACACAACCTTACTTAAGAAAAAAAGAAGCAAATGCATTCATTTGATGTTGGAAGCACAGTCTATAATCATTCCATCATTCAATTTGACCCATTTAAAAAACGGTCATCTCTTTTCAGTTGGATGAAGAAATTGAAAAGTGATGCCAAAAAAAAGAGAAAAGAGTATGTCTTCAGATAAAAATAAGACAAACTAAGCTTTGTGATATATGTGACAAACACTCTCGCACACACTCCTCACAGAGCGTTTTTGTGGACAGATTTCCCTTTCATCTCTCTGAAGACAACTCCTCTGACAGAAGCCGAGACTGCTGCCTGCCTGACTGCCATCACTTCCATTCAGTACAAAGATTCTGTCACGAAAACTCGCTCCGACGCAGTGGCAGACCAACTATATCAAAGCCTTTCCTCCTCTAAGAGACCAGAATTCATTTAGGTATCAATACCAAGACAAATATAATGGATTTGTAATTGTCATTTTCTAATAAGCATTTAGAGAAATGCCTCATTCTACACTTTCTAGTAAATAAACAGCATCTAATTTTATTAAAGTCAGTAGAGGCACAAAACTGTATAAAACAGCCTAGTACCTTTGCCTTTTTCAGATTTTCAGTTTACTGTTTTAAGTCAAATAAATCAACACATTTTGAATCAGTTTAGAAATTTTTAGCAGACACGCTAACTTAAAGCACCATAAAAGTAATCCAAAAGTAGGACCTTTGCATAAATCAACAACCAAAGCAATATCTTTGATATATGCCATTGTGAAATCAGTTAACTTTCCATACAAAGCAGTGTGCATTACATTAACTGCACACAGAAAACCGTAAGATAAAACCGTTAAATATGTTAGATAAAATATTATTTAACATAAAATAATCTAGAAAGAAAAGAAGCTAGCTTAAAAAAAATCATGGTAATTTGGATCTGTTCCACCTCTGAGGTTTTGTCCTTTTTGATTGTTTCCAATCATACAACATCATAATTTGTTGAATTTATATTCAAGATATGGCCAACATTTATTCAACAGTACCAATAATAAAAAAAGAGGATGTTTTGGACACCATGGCAATACCATTATTTATAATTATTGTAATCGTCCATACAGTATTTCTAAGGTATTATCATTAAACACTTCCACACTACAGGACAATGCTGACACTTTCATGATTAACAAAAAAAGAAGCTAGCGCTAACTCTTTCGTTTCAGATGTTACCGCTCTAAAAAAATTTTTTATTACAGCAGTTATAAACCGCTCTGGAGTTATGCACACGGGCACATAAACAACTGTGTGACTAGCGTAAGCATTTAACTTTCTCGTTAGCAATCTCCCCCGTGTGGCGCTTTAGCCATGCTGGCTTGTTTATTATGTTCATAGCTTTGGCAGAAAAAGAGATTTAAGTGAACTCCTACGAATCGGAAGCACTTGTAAATGCATAGAAACACACTCAGCTGTAGAAACAGGGGAATTAAGGGCTTACCAAATGCTAATGCTAATACAAAGCAATTTTCAACCTGATGCTGATACACAGAATTAAATTTTTTTTTTGTAGTAAGCAATAAAACGTAATCGGAAGAGCTATTACATGGACCCTAATCCACCCCTGCGCCCTAACATGCATCAATATACAACTTTTCATTTGGTGTTACCTCAGAATTTCCATCTTTGTGGTTGCCGTAAAACGAGAGGATGAGGCAAATAAAGTAAATAATCAAGTGTATGATCTTCAGAGGCATTCCAATTTAGCCCTTGGCAGGCGACACACAGCATGCACATATCATATTTTCCCCTGCTGTTCTGAAAATGTACTCAGAGTTTAAGTGGATATACACTTACTTTAACTTATGGAAGTGTGGTTGAGTGGGGATAGGACTATGCCAGTCATCCATATAGAAGTAAATGTGTGTTTCTGCCGGGAAGTGGACTGAATTAAATATATAGGTAAGTCTTTTTGCATTAGAACAAAGTGTATGATAAATCAAAAAAGTCTGAAAGTCAGTAAAGTTATCAAAATCCAAAATCAGTTTAATGTAATTCTTCAGCATCATTCTTATCACAATCTCCAAATCCTGTTCAAGAACTTACAGTATGATGATGATTATCCTTGTTGGCCAGTTTCTAGAAAGGAGAGAAAATGGGAGATAAACTTACACCAAAATGCCAATTTGTGCAAAAGCACTGAAGAAAACTCACAGGATAGGTGGATAGGAAAGTTAGCAGGTAAATAAGTAAGTAAATAAATACCATTATTATTATTTTTTCCAGGAAAATATTAATTCTTGTCAAAGTCAGTAGCACTGTGGATAGCTGAAATAATAATAATAATAAAAATAATTAAAAAAAACTTATAACCAGAGGTGTCATGCATACCAAAAGCAAAACTTCTTCTTTGGTAATGTCGCTCAATTAGATTAAGCATATATCTTTAAAAAAGGCGTATGCTTAAATAATGAAAAAACTGGGGTAAGAAAATGTATCTTATTCAAGTTTTTCCAATGAAAACGAATCATATTACATTAAATTTATATTACAGGAAAAATTTACGTAAATTTGTTCCAAGTATATTTAGATCTTTTTAATGAAAAAGAAGACAAAGATACTGATTACTATAAGATTTTTAGTGTTTGTAGTGTATTATGACAAAAGAGTGAGGTCAACAGACAAAAGACGCAGAAAGAAGGCAGGAGTAGCTTCTTAAGAAGGCAAGAAAAACCTAAAGAGAAAACAAACACAAACATAGTGAACTAGGTTTGGTTATTTGGGTGTGTGTGAATGTGTCTGTAAGCATGAGCTCATGGGAAAGGATGGGAAGTCCCTTCCTTGTCCACCATAATGTCAGAGATAGAACACAGACACACAAACTCGATCCCTCTCACACCCTGTGCCTTAATACTATACGTGAACACCCCTACTTCACTTCTATGGTTTGCTCCAGTCTCCATGTCAGCTGCTTAGGGCTGTTCCATTCTGGAGCAGACAGGGTGGGAAACCTGTTTCATACCAAATATTGTTTGGTGCCACTAATGACTAAATTTACCTTGTTGTAATACCTGGATAATTTAAAAAGTACTATTAGTAATTGACAATGACTGTTTTAAATATGTTGATTTCTCAGCAACTCGACAGGGATTGATGAAAGCCAAATCCTTCCTCAAAAACAGAGAAACATATGAGAAACAAAGGGAATAAAAGACCTGTGCAGTTAGACAAATAAGCCGTCCTGTTTAGCGGTAAACTTTGATAAAAATAAACGACCTCTCCTTTTCTCTCAACCTTGAGAAAAGCATACAAACACAAGAGCTGCAACAAATCAAGTGATTCATTAAACTAGATATAGAATAATAGCACAAGTCCTGCCCTCTCAAGTCCGTCAACAAACACACACACACACACACACACACATGCATCCACACACATACACAGCTCCACTGGAGTCTAATAACTAATCATGTGTTTACCTTCTCCAAGGACTTGCTTATTTGCGGCCGTCTTCAGTTCCAGCGCTGCGTTTAACCTCCCTGCCCTGCAGAGACAACAAGCGCAGAGAAAAAGTTGTAGATGTTAAATTACTGCAGCTGTCACAAACCATCAGTCAACTCTGTGCATAAAAAAATGAAATTAAAAGTAAACAATTTTGGTAAGCTATTTTGATGGTGCAGACAAACTAATGAGGACTCAATCGTGGACATACCGAATAAGTACATCATCTACTAAACAGAACTTGAGAGAACAGAAAAACACACTTTTATCCACAGCATTATTAAACAACTGTTAACAGCAATATGGAAATGTGTGATTCATCATCCTTATTAAACCATTTCATTTTCAGGGTTAAACTTTACCTTTATATGAAGTGACAGTTGTACAGTAGAGTTTACAATAAATCTGCTGCTAAAACTGGATTACGTACCAAAACAAGTAACATAACATATCACAACAATACCATTTTTTGGACATATACACTACAGTTCAAAAGTTTGGGGTCGGGTAAGATTTGTCTATATTTTAATATATTTTCTATTTTTTTATTATTTTAAATTGTAATTTATTCCTGTGATGGCAAAGAGACATTTTCAGCATTACTCCAGTCTTCAGGGTCACATGGTCCTTCAGAAATCATTTTAATGCTGATTTGGTGCTCAAGAAACATTTTATATAATTCTAAATGTTGAAAGCAGTTGCACTGCTTAATATTTTTCTGGAAACCATGATATTTTTTTTCCAGGATTCTTTGATGAATAGAAAGCATTTATTTGAAATAGAAATCTTTTGAAAAAGTATCTCTTTTTTTTTTTACACATGGTGTCACATTACTACCATTAAGTATTTGACACGTACCAGGGTAATACCATGGTATTCTTGGAAGTACCATGGAGTGCAACATAAAAAACATAATACATTTCAGTTTCAAAGTATCATAGTATTATCTGTCACAATGCCTTTTTATAAAGTACCTCCTCCTAAAAGACAGTGAGGCAAACAGTTCACAAGCTTGCATTTACAGTCTCAATATACGCCAAGAGCATATTCTCATGCTAGACTATTGAGAAAGATACTATAGGCCAGCATCCCTTTGTCATTTGAATAAAAGCATGAAAGCTTAGCCGAACGTGAAAAAATATGCAGTTTACATTTGGCAGTCAAAACAGTGGCTGGCCGTTAGAGCAGAGTGATTCTGTTTATCTCAGGTAAAGTGAGCGCAGATAAAACACACTGGTGCAGCCTGTCCATGTTCCTGCATCAATTATCTGTTAAACGCCCTTGTTAAGGTGGGTGGTCAGCATTTACAGCGACTAAAAACACTAGCCACCACAAGGACCGTATGCGTTTTCCACGTATCTTGTGCTGATTCCAATTCATTAGACTTCAATTAACACGTCATCCCTGCTGTTATGAATCAATAGCTCTTGGTGACAGGTGATGAATTTTTCAGCTTAAAAAGCTAAACATCATTTATTCAAATCACCTGCTAAGGTCTCAGGTGCTAAATGAGTTTACTGAAATGCCTAATGCTCATTTAGACAAATGTTCTCTCGTCCTAATGATGAGAACGTTTTGCATTGAGAACAGGAAGGGGGGAGGGAGGTGAGAAAGACGCACAACAGCAGTTACCTTTCAGTTTTTAGCACCGTAATGTGTTGCTAAATCGATAACAGTCCAGACTGAATGCATGAAGTTGGAGGTAATGCTGGTGTTTTGTGCAGCGGGGGTGGTGGAGGCCCGGGGAGTGAATAAATACGCTCATGCCGCTAGACCCAGCTGGAGAAGGAAAAGAACCAGCCTTCTGGTGCTCGGGGAACTTGCTGAGATAATCGGCTTCATGGGGGTGTTATGAAGGAAACACGGCAAGAGAGACAACTAAATGAGCACATGGGCTAAATACTGTCTGAAGAAACAAAGAAACGGAGAGGGAAAAACAACAACTTTCAGTTCTTATGTAAAGGTGTTTCTTCAACTATGGGCAATTTTGGACCTAATTAACTCACTTTTCAAATTCACTAGTTCGTCTATCAATGTCCAACAGTGTCCAAAAGTTGTTGATGTATCCTAAATACATCATTACATATTTTGACACTTTTTGTATAACTGAACCAAAGTGATATTTACCTGAATTTTTCTGTTTTCTTCACAGATCATATACTACTGTTCAAAAGTTTGGTGTCGAAAATAATTTTTTATTTATGTTATTAAAAGTCTCTTATGCTCAACAGGCTGCATTTATTTGATCAAAAATACAGTAACATTATTACAATTTAAAATATCTATTTCTATTTTAATATATTTTAAAATGTAATTTATTCCTGTGATGGCAAAGCTGAATTTTTAGCAGCCATTATTACAAAAAAGCAATAATTTCTTAAAAAGTACTAATTTCTCAAAAGCATTCATTTCTTAAAATGCATTTGAAAGATAGTTAAAAAAAAGTTATGGTACAAGAAAGTTTTGATTTGACCTTCATATAACAAAAAGAAAGAAATGGTTAAAATATGATCATTTCAATAACATATTAAGGTAATTGTGTTTGACCTAGAATCGTAAACATTTCAATGGCCGGTAAAAACTTTGGTCATACATGACAATGATGGCTAAAAATTATATCATGCACATGAATATCAACAATCTCATTTATAAAACCAGACCTGAAGAGGACTTCTGCAAAATATTGTTCTTATTCGACCGCATTTACATCGTACAGGCTGTCGAATCACACACTCCAACCGTTTCCTGGCTAAAACCAAGCCAATCCTAACGGAAAAGGCCCTGGTGGTCATTATGAACGCCTCTTCAGTCCATCTAATGGACCATCTCTTTCCTCACTTCACCAAAAACACAAGAGCACATGAATATTTACCACCAAGCAAAGCCATTCCATTAATCGGTTTGCGAATGCTTAAATAGCATATCTGTGGCTACTTCTACGGTGGGGTCATAAATGAACATTCCTGCTTCATTAGCATATTAATTTATGCAGAGATTGAGTGCAGCTCATAGGCTGTGACCAGCTCCTCTTCTCCCTATTGGTCAAGGAAGCAAATTTATCCAGTGTCAAGCACTCTGACAAGCACTGCTCCAAAATATTGTAGAATGGTGTTGTAAACTATTAGAGGAACTGTTCACTCCATACAATAAAAAAGAAAAGAAAATTTGAAGAACGATCATGTTTCTCTTTCGTATAAAATGAAAACATACAGTGACTGTAAAACATAGAAATGACAAAAAGCACCATAAAAGTAGTCTATTTGATTATATAAAAGTAGTCTATTAGTATATTTAAGATTTATCTATTTAATTTCCATCCATTTCAGTAATTGTATTTATTTCTACATATCATACAAAACTGTATGACTTCATAAGACTTGGAATATTGCAAGTAATATAGGCCTGCTGTAAAAAAAAAAAAAAAAAAAAGGGTAAAAGAACAGTGAACATTCTTCAAAATGTCAAGGTCAACTTTTCTATTAAACTTCTATTAAACTTGTATGTTGTATGTTTCAATGTATGTTGAACAAAAAAAAACTTAAACTACTGAACTAAAAAATGACAATCGCATCAGAAAATAAAATAAAAAAAGAGACACCGCAAATGAGAGACTGAGCAGAGGACAGGCTGTGATATCTATATTGAGTCCATTTGTGTTTGTTTTTAGGGTGTGTGCACATGATTTTCCAAGTCACTGTCTGTGCTCTGAAATATAGGAAAATTGCATGACTCACTTTGAGACAAATGCAGCTGTTTACAAAGGCCTGACAAAAAGGTGACTGAACTGAAGTCTCTCTCTTTCTCTCCTACTCACTCTCTCCCCAGAGCCTATTCCCAAAAACCTGAAAGTAATTTTTGCGATTCGCTTACAAGCAGGCTTCGCCCATTGTTTTGCACATCCACGTTCGTGTAAACAACGGCGGTTTCCGACATGCAAACAGACGCAAAACCTAATTTATCTGGGCTTGTACGTGGGTCACTTGAGCTTCTGGAGGCCGAGCGAGTCGGTACATAGTCTGCTGAATGTCAGGCTGTCTGAGTCTAGACATTTTTTCGGACCTGCCCTCACGTTTTGCTGAGCTAAGAACAAAGTACACAGAGTACACACGCACACGTAGCTTTCACAGTCTTAATACCAAGGCAGCGGTATTTCGTTCCTATCCCAAAACAAACAAGGCAGTGCATTTCTTTACACTATTTAAATGTTAACAGGCAAGAGCGTAGGCTGAATAGAGCATTCTTTCACCCTGGATACCAGAAACGGCCCAGCCAGACTTTCAAAACATGTTCTAATGAAATCATCCAAAAGATAAATAAAAAGCTGCACTTGTTTTCTTTTCTGAGCTCACCTCCCCCTCTTCTTTCTTTTCCTTTTTTTGTAATTGGATTATACTTTTTTGAGTGCAGACCATCAGCGCCATGAGAGCATGGAACTACTGTAGAGCGATTTCTCATTCTCGCTTCCTCTGACATGACAATTATACAGCTAAGCACTAAGGATATGAGGGTTAACACAGGTCTTATACTGAAACTGAGGGTTTTAACCCAGTTATGCAATGTTATCTTTATGAGCAGTGAAATATTAGTTTTATTAATGACCAACACCAATATTGATATCTAGAGGGTTAGCAATGTAATATAATCATAGCAAATATGATTTACGCAAAATTGTACTTATGTTCCATGATATTTACTCAAAAGCACTCAAACTATTTGAGAATGTCTATTTGAAAACATAAAATTATACATGTGCATTATACATTGACGATTTGCTGCTGCCAATGCCACTATCTAGAGAGCAGGACTGTTCAATATTACACTACACATAGTCAATATGAGATATACACAAAATTAAAACTGTAAATACAGGAAAATGAAATATACAAAATGCAAAAAATAAAACATAAATAAAAAAGCTAATAAAATGTGCATTATCCATTCACAAATATTTCAGTAGAAATGGCCAAATATCTGTCAATTAATCTGTCTTGCCGATATATATAGACTACCATTAAAAAGTTTGAGAGAAACTAATATTTTATTATTTTATTACTCATTATTTAAAAAAATAATAATACTTTTATTCAGCAAGGATAAAATAAATGCTGTTCTTATTAACTTTTCTATTCATTAAAAAAATCCTGAAAAAATATCACTGTTCTGACAAAAAAAGCAGCACTACTGCTTTAAACATTGATAATAATAAGAAATGTTTCAGCAAATTGGCATATATGATTTCTGAAGTATCATGTGACACTGAAGACAAAGAAGAGTGTCTGATCGATCGACAGACAGACAGACAGACAGACAGACAGACAGATAGATAGATAGATAGATAGATAGATAGATAGACAGACAGATAGACAGACAGACAGATATCCTAACCATTTCACATACTTCTTTTTGATCATATCATACATTTTTATGGTTAATGTCTATGTATGATCTCAACCATGCTTTAACATCTACTCTGACATCATATTTCCTCTTTCTCCCCACCAATCACCTTTTTCTCTAGATCTCTCTCTTTTTCTCATCCGTTCTCTTCTCTCCTTTGACCTCAGATCCTGTGCACTATTAATACCAATAACCCACAAATTCCATTTCCCTGTGCAGAGACAGACTGAAAGTAAGCTTAGTGACTGAGGAAAGAGCAAAATCTCTCAATACAGATTTACTTCTTCTTTTTAAGGCAAATATTTAATTGGACAGGAGAGAGTGGAGGCAGATACCGTGTGGTTTGCTCAGAAAGAGAGAGCGAGAGAGTGAGAACGAGGGGGATCCAAGGTGCACAGTCAGAAATGTAAGCGTTTTAGACAGTATTTTTAGGCCAGGGAGCAAGGGGGAGAATAAATGCATCGCTTAAAATCTGTGAACACTTACCCATGAACATAACCCAGTGCTCCACAAGCCAAATCCAAACAATTCCAGCGTCCCACACTTTGATCTGCACTATAACAAAAGTCCTCTCTTCACCAGCTGCCTCTTTATCAAGTAGTAAGTGAGGTGCGAGCAGTGTGCAACCAGCAGCCTTGCCCCGTTCGCGCTCTCTGGCTCGCACACACATGCACTCTCGTCTCGGGGGCTGGAGGTATGTGGTCTAAACACAACAAAAAGCCTGAGTCGAAGATTGAATATGCAGGAAGAGGGCCTCCGATAATAATTATTATTATAGATATTCTAGATATTCTTTGCATGAAATATGATTAAGAATTATTTTTTTATTTTATTGAGAAATGAACTATATTCTCAATCTCAACTATATCGCATTCCTCATTCTAACAAAAAGTTAAGCACTAACTTGTAAGAATTTACAAAGTCATTTATAATCAATGACATCTGATCATTCCAGCTTCTCCAAAAAGCTTCGGTTCTTAATTTTTGCAATTCTCACGTTTCACTAGTTGGTTATTAGCATGCATATTACTAGCTTATTGGCTGTTTATTAGTACTCATAAAGCACATATTAATGCCTTGTTCTGCATGACCACATTCTAGATCCCTGAACCTTACCCCATACCTAAACTTAACAACTACCTTATACTATTAATAAGCAGCTAATTAGGAGTAGTGGTCGACCGATATATCGGTCAATATTTGGCATTTTTCAAATATCGGCATCGGCCGATAAGTTTTTCTGTTTGGCCGATGCGTTTGTGGTGGGACTTTTATTTTGACGGCGCGCTGGACTTTTATTTTGACAGCGCTGAGAACGGCAGCGATGGGAAGTTCGGATCATTTTACCGACTCGGACCTTTGAGTCTCGTTCAGCAAAATGAACGAATCTTTTTTCGAGTCATTTCGTTCATTTTAGCAAAATATAATTAAAATGTTACGTGTTACTTCCCTAACACGTCTACTACTTACGCAAACGTTGATCACACTACAAACAATACAAAACTATAATGCTATAAGAAACAGAAAAGATTAATTCATTGTTTACCTGGGTCTTCAGTCTATGATTAGCTCACCTCACCTCTTATCTGACAAGTCTTCGGGTTTGAGTCGTTCGTTCATCACGTGACGGCCCCATAAGCTTTAACCTATGCAGTCTGAGCCGGAAAGAGAATTGATTAGTTCATCTCTCGAGTCTTTGGGATTTAGTTGTTCGTTCATCACGTGACTGCCCCATAAGCTTTAACCTATGCAGTCTGAGCCGGAAAGAGATTTGATTAGTTCATCTCTCGAGTCTTTCGAATCGTTCGTTCTTTTGTCACGTGACGTGACAGCATTGGATAGAGAAATTGGTTAATTTACAAGCTACAAATGGGTGCATAGTTATTATTATTAGTAGTAGTAGTAGTAGTATTATTATTATAATTATTATTTACTCTTACAGTTACGTGATGCGTTTCTGTTCTCAAATTGTAGCTTTTTACTTCTTACAGTTTATAAATGTGTGAATTTCTGTCATGATGGTTCTTTTCCATAACACTGAATGTTTTAACAAAGGTAATAAAGAGTTGGTTATTATTATTAAGTCTCTTTCCGGCTCAGACTGCATAGTAGGGATGGGCATTTCCCAAAAATTTTGCATTCGAATATTTGGGCTCATACAAAACTAATATTCGAATATTCGTTTATTTAAATGAGGTTTAATGAGAAAGACGTTATTTTTAATTATCAAGTTTTTGTCACGATTTCTGAACAAGCTTATGATTAGCCATTACACAACAATGTTCTACAACAACGTTACGTTATATCACAAGGTTTTATTTTGGTTGAAACATGTGTAAACAAAAAAAAATACATTAAAATAAAGGCAATCGAGATCAAGTAGAGCAAACGGAAAAATCAAGCAGACCGTGCCATACAGAACGTAGGCTAACGAATTTCAAAAACCTTGCAAACTTAGTCGAATCCAGCTGTGAGATCTTATGAAGTGTGCATTTGTATCCTGCATGATCGCGTGTTCTCTGCATGACGGTCGGTCCATGCGAATGGGCTCGGTGCACAAGATGGCGCCGGTGAGCTTCACCGACGCGAGTGTGTGCATACTTACTTCCGGTCTTGCGACGTTCTCATTTACTGTAAGGGGAAACTTACATACAAAACTTGGCTAGATAGAAATAATTAATGTTTTTTCAAATTAAAAAGCGGATAGTGGTATATCAAAGACAAGAGAAAACATCCTCCCTACATTATTGCGTACCTCTGTGTGGAAATTCATCAAGATACAACGCGGAGATTTCTTCATTCTTTCTACTGTTGATTATGCGATTGAGCGTCAGTGGTTAGTCAGTCCACAGGGATCTCTTCATTCAAACACAAACCACTCAAATGTGCAATACTGTACATTTTCGGAGAGTTGATTTTGTTCTGACTGCTATTTATATGATCATTAGGTTTGCGAATGTCAAATGAGACGCTCAAAGATTTCTGCATGTATGTTTTATTAACTTTATTTGATCATATAATTTATAACTGTAACTGTACAATTTAACAATGTAATTATGGTAGGTTGGCATTAATTAAAAGATCGGTGTTTGCATTACCTGTGTGTTTTTATTAATATTTATCTGTTTTGTGAAAGATCTGTTGCATAAATAATTCTGTCTATAAGCAGCGCATGTATATTTTTACGATTTCTTTTGCATTAATTATCAGATAAAACAAATCTTTAAATTAGTTATGTATTAGTTGTATCCTTTTACAGTCCGTTTTTTTATTTTTTATTTAAAAAATATGTTTGATGCAAAGTTAACTATGTGTAAAATATTAAAGTATGTTGTGAAAATGATAATGGAAAACTGATGTATGTGCACAATTGAGAAATGGATATTTATGAAGATCAATCACAGCCCATGTCTCACAAAGTAAATATTTCATAAAAAAAAAAAAATCAATGTAATACAAACATTTTCGAGAAATAAGTAATTTGTTAATTTACATAATTGGTAAGGGAAAAAGTCATTGTGTAGCTGTGTGTACACACCATGTTCAACTTTCATTTTGTAAACAGTAGGGATTAGTGTAGGCCTATTTCATTCATTCACCGGACCCAAACATGCGTACGTTTCAAATGCACTGGCTCAGTTAACATTTATAGTATAGTAATAATAGCGGTGTAGATCTTATTTGCATTTTAAGTGATATTATAAATCCTGTAAAACATATATAGAAGGTAATATTTGGATTCCTCCGGTTCTCTGCATTGGCGTTTAGCACAACCGGAAGTATCTATGCACACACTCGCTAGACCAGAAATCCAAGATGGCGGAGATATGCAACTAGCCCATTGAATACGGACAGGAGGAGAGTTCAGCTTCACTGATACGCACGATCGACAAACTCGTGATTTCAAATTATGCTGCGCTTCATGTTTTTGCCCAATGTCATATTAATGTCATTTTCACTGTGTGCTGTATGTAAAATTAGTGTTACCTTGGCTTTATTTGAAAAAAATGTGATTCCCAATGCACACAAACTTCCCAGAATACTGAGTGCCCTGTTGGTTACAGTGCTTACTTCCTTTTAAATTATATTTGTATTAAATATTGGTTTATTTGTGAAAAATACTTTGTCATTTAAAGTATAAGCATGCTTATTTTACACATTTATTTTTTAATCCATTTACAAATTATTTCAAATTTCTTAAATATTAAATAAAATAAATAAAATTATATCGGTCATCGACCACCCTGCTTTCCAAGATATCGGCATCGGCTGTCAAAAAAACAATATCAGTCGACCACTAATTAGGAGTTTGTTCATGGAAAACTCTTAATAATAGTGAATATGTGTTCCCTATTCTGAAGTGTTACCAGTTTAGTTTTTTTTATTCTTACAAATGATATACTTCGTATAGTTTCTTCTACAAGATTCAGTTTTTCATTTAATTAAAAAAAACTTTTTTTGCATCTGATTTGCATCTGATGTTTCCACTTTTCTTACATACTTGTTCTTCATGTTATTTGTAAAACTTGGGAATGAAAAACTTTTGACAAACAGAATGTAGGTGGAGGTGAAAAGGACAGTGCAGTTCAATAATGTGGTGCTTTACTCTCTTTCTCTCTCTCGCTCTTAAAGAGGCTGTTGAGAGGTGTAATGTCACATGATCGATGGTAAGGTGAGCAATCACGACTTATTCCTGCAAAGAATCCCGAGCCTGACACTCATTCATAAACACACTCACATGTGTGACTTTAACAACTCACTTAAAGAAAAAAAAAGAGCAGAGAGTGAGAAACTTTCAGGGAGAGAGATGGAGAAAGATGGGGAGAGAAAAAGGGGAAGGGAACAGGACTGACGGATGAGGTGAGTGAGAAAGGAAAAGAAAGAGGGAGCACAGACAGAACCTCCAGAAAATAAACAGGGTGTCTTGTTTCAAAGGCGAGGGGGACACACAAGCATTCCATTGTTCAAGTCAATTATCAGAGGCAAATAATAACAGCAGATGGATCCAGCAAGGCCACAAAACGAGTGAGTGAGAAGTGGAGAGCTGCAGAACAGATGATGAAAAGTGAGAGAGGAGGAGGAGGAGGGGTCAGAATACCCAGTCCTAAAGCCTCACACAACAGATGTGGACTTACAGGGACGGTGCACAAACACAAACTTTCACCACGACCTTGCCGCACAAGCACAAGATGATTTAAAGATAACAAATATTCTATTTTATTATGTTTTTTATTGTGTTTTTTGCTATTTTTGTTTCACAGACAACAGTTAATCGCGTGCAGCCCTAATATCAAGACAGTTAATAATGTCGTTAGTTTTACCATCAGTTCAAGCCCCGAAAGGGCAACAGAGTCGCATAACAGACACAGTGATGATGCAGTACACAAGCCGCGGTTAAGACCATATTTGAATCGATTTTCAACCGGCTCGCAGTTAATCGTTACATCCCTAACTAACACCAATAAACAAAATGCCCCACAAACATCATGAGATGATGACTTCAAGTTATAATTGTCAAGTCCAAAAACAACAACAACAACAACACATTATTATTATTATTATTATTAAAAAATTATATTAAATTAAATTAATACATTATAATATTTTATATATTTGAAATATTTATATTACATTACATTATGATTTGCACCAGACACTTAGATTCAAAATAACAACAACAACAAATAATAATAATAATAATAATAATAATAATTATTATTA